AACTCAGCACATTCAGGTAACAGAAAAGGTGCTTTCTGTTCCGGTTCGTTTCCAAGGCTTTCTTCAGACAAAGCAGGCTGCCTGCCAAGGCCACGCCACGCAGCCCTGCTGCCTCTGAGGAAGAGCTCTGGGCGCTAAATGGCCACATCCGTCTCGTTTCTGTTTGTCAAGTTCACTCTCACATTCCTTCTCAACATTACAGCCCAAGATTTTGGATCAAGGGCACTCAAGGGAGTATTTGTTTGCTTAAAAACATTATTTCCACAGACACTTTCAAAAGATGGCCACAACTCTAGCGGCTGAAGTTTTGTATTCTGAGTAAAACAGCTGCCGTTAAGTAGCAATTGTTCTCCATTTCTTCAGGGAGTTTTTAAAAAGAAATTTAAAAAAAATTACCCAACAGCCAGGGCTGAATAAATAGCTAGAAGAAGCCTTTTGAAACCTCATACAGCCACCTATTTCACAGAAACCCCAAGGGTCTGTCTTGCCACTAGCTAATGGCATTTCGGTTCTCGGGTAAATTCTGGGCTTTGGGCAAACCAGCAGTCGATGGGAACAGGCTGCCAGAGCAGCTCAGGAGAGAGGCAGGCTGCAGCTTGTGAGGCTTTCTTCTCATCCCCTGGGGACTAGGACAGGGGAGGCTGGTCCTCAGCACGGGACCCTCAACAGGTCTCTGCCATGACACGGCCGGTGCCCCAGGCATTTGTGAGAGGAGACCTTTCTGAGCCATGGGCAAGCACAAGCAGACCCAGGACTATGTCCACCTGGGCATGCCATGGGCAGTGGTGAAGTTACAGTGTTGGTAGGGAGCACAATGAAAGATCTGGAAGGACTCTAAGGATACCACCCAGAGACTAGACCTTTCCTGCTCCCCTGCTTCTCCTGCCTACCCTTGCTGGTGGTGCAGAGAACCATGGTGATTTTACAGAGCCTCCAAGGAAACCTCAGGAGCAGGTGCTGGTGAGGGAGCACCAATTGCCTCTACCAATGCTGACTGTCTCCTCCAAATACTTTTTTTATTTCCCACTCCACCACTTGCTTTTAGGCAATTCTGTCCCTTTATTACTCATGGCCAGAACTTTTTCCACAGGTTTTTGAACCCAGACTTACCTGACTCCATTTTTTTCAAAGGAACGCTGCCTTCGTCTGCACGATGCCTTCATTGCCAGTATAAAGATGACAGTGTTTATCTGAAAGGGAAATTGAAATATCAGCATGGATTCCTCCTGTACACTTCTTAGAGCTCACGTTTCAGTGAAATTGCAATTTGTATCCTAAAATGGTTCATGGTGCCAAGAATATTTTCCCCTAGTTTATAGGTCTCTAAGTTCAAAGATCCATCTCATTTCAAGACAACATAGTAAAGAACACCCTGGGACTTGACAGGCCTATGCAAAGAGGCTTGAGTGAAAGAATATCTGTCTTCAGCCAGACCAGAGTGCATTCAGCCCAGCACCGTGTCAGCTGAGACAAACAAGAATGTAAGAATATAGTAACAGAGCAAGCATATAGTGATAATCAGAGTCCCTATGGTTGGAGAGGACCCCTAGGATCACCAAGTCCAACCTTCCTCCCAACATTCCCCCAGTTCCTCTGAATACTCCTCCAGCCTCCACTGACTTCCACGGCTGGGACGTACTAGGTGGGGTGGGGTGTTCCTCCTTAGGCATAGTGAGTGTCAGTGCTGAGACTTTGTCTGGTCCTTCACTTTCTGAAACCATGCAGAGCTTTACCACTGCCACTGTCCTGTTCCTGGGAGTTTCTAACTTAACTCACTGTGGGGAAACAATGCAGCTTGTCCTCTTTATTCTGAAGCTGCTGCCTTGTGCTACTGCTTGTGTTGGAAAAGACACTGAAAAGTTGGCTCCACAGCCATTTTCTCCAGATCACCACACTATTAGAGGCTACTCCCTCCCCCTCCTCTGCAGCTTTCTCTTCCCTAGGCTGCAGGCTCCCAGTCCACTTAGTTGGTCCTCCAGCAGGGGTTGTCCCGTGTCTCTCATGACTCGTGAGCCACGTCTACACTGCTTCCAGGTCCACTTCATACTTTTTGAGTAGATCAGAATTGCATGTGGTGTTCAGGTCACACCATGAATATTTATCTTCCGCTGCTCTGAGGGGAGCTTTACATGAGGAGTTAAACACCAGCCCATTCTTTTAAATTCCTGAAAGCAGGATTATTTAATATTCCTTTAGGACTTACAGATAAAGTAACTAATAGTGGCTCATTTTGTGGATTTGTTTAACAAGCTCACCAACCAACCGTTCAAACATGGAACAAAGCAAACTCAAAACCATAAGCAGGTTTCTGGTCACACAGCTATTGCTCCACAAGCAGTCTTTGCACTGGCAAGCAGCCCTCAGAAGACACCGAGTTCAATGCAAGGAATACAGCTGCTTCATGTTATCACTACTCCTTGACAAAACATAAAACAAAAGCAGTAAGGAAAGGATGGCTCCAGGTGTCAGCTCCACCATACTTACAACTACGACCATTACAATGGGCCCAGCGAAACTCCAGATGAGGGTGTCATGAACAGACAGCCAGCAGAAATCAGGATTCCCGTAGCCTTGTGGATCCAGACCAACAGCAAGCCCTGGGTCACAAAATGAAGACAAAGGACATCAGAAAGGTGCTGCTGAGATCTTCTATATAACCAGGCACATTTTCCAATCACTGACAAAAAAAGTGATAATGGGAAAATGTGCTCAGCAGCACAGTCTAGGAGGACAAAACCGAGGCAGATCTTGAAATAAAACTTTTGTAAATCAAAACCTCTAACCCTGGTCACTCCATATCAAAGGACACCACAAATTTTGCCAATCAGAATAAAGTTCAGCTGCATAGAAAATGACAATAAAGGCAAGACCTAAATTAATTCTGTTTCAGCATTTTTATAGTCAAACTCACACAGTGTGATGAAGCCCTGAGGGTGAGTGACACGTTGAGGAATTTCAGTAAGCCTGTGCAGCAGAAGGACATGAATCATAACTAAGAATATGTCTTTACTATAGAAAAAAACCAAACATGCATTCTTAACTGCCATGAGCTTCCTGTCACTGAAATAACACCAGAGACAAAGGAAACTGGGAACTCAGGGGAGTTAACTGCTGGAGCCTGGGTGGGATTCATTTTGAGCTGCCGTCCCACGTCCCTCGCCTTGCTTCCAGTGCTCTTTGAAATGGAATTTGCTAATGCCTCCAAGGCAACCGAGTGAAGAAAACACCTTTTATTGTTTTATTTTGTCAAAGCCTAGACAATTCCAAGGGAGTCTCTGAGTCCAACCTCCACCTGCTGATTTACAGTGCTGCCTGATTTGGTGACTTACAACTCACCCTTATGGTGATAGGACTGGGATGGCTGCCTTTGACCTGAAAAATCACCAAATCATTTATGCTGGAAAAGACCAGTGATGGACAGCCCCTTCAGTGAAGAATTTTCTCCTAATATCCAGCCTAAGCCTCCCCTGGCAAAACTTGAGGCCATTTCCTCTCGTCCTATCACTTGTTACCCACCACGCTACAACCTCCTTTCAGGTGGAAGTAGAGAATGAGAAGGTCTCCCCTCAGCCTCCTTTTCTCCAGGCTTAAACAGCCCCAGTTCCTTAGCTGCTCCTCCTAAGACTTATTATCTAAACTCTCTCCTAATATCCAGCCTAAGCCTCCCCTGGCAAAACTTGAGGCCATTTCCTCTCGTCCTATCACTTGTTACCCACCACGCTACAACCTCCTTTCAGGTGGAAGTAGAGAATGAGAAGGTCTCCCCTCAGCCTCCTTTTCTCCAGGCTTAAACAGCCCCAGTTCCTTAGCTGCTCCTCCTAAGACTTTTTATCTAAACTCTTCAGCAGCTTCGTTGCCCTTCTTCAGATACACTCCAGCACCTCGATGTCCTTCTTGTACTCTGGTGCCCAAACCTGAACTCAGTACTCAGGCTGTGGCCACAGCAGTGCTGAGTACAGGGGGACAATCACTCCCCCAGTCCTGCTGGCCACTGTCTCTGATGCAGGCCAGGATGCTGTTGGCCTGCCAGCCACCCGGGCACACTGCTGGCTCATGTTCAGGCAGCTGCTGATCGACACCCCCAGGTCTGTTCCCACCAGGCAGCTATCCAGCCACCCTTGCATGGGGTTGTTGTGACCCAAGTGTAGGAACTAACATTTGGCCTTGCTGAACCCTGTACTTTTGGCATAGGCTCATGGATCCAGCCTGTCCAGGTCCCTCAGTAGAGCCTCCCTATCCTCAAGCAGATCAACAGTCCCACCCACCTTTGTGTCACCTGCAAACTTACTTAGGGTACCCTTGATCCCTTTGGCCAGACCGTTGATAAAGGAATTAAACACAAGTGGTCCCAGTACTGAGGCCTGCAGAACACCACTTGTAACGTACTGAGCCCTGCAGAACACCACTTGTAATTGGCCACCAATTGGATTTAACAACTCCATTCATCACACTCTTTGGGCCCTGCCATTCAGCCAGGTGTTTACCCAGAGAAGAGTACACCCGTCCAAGCCAGGAGCAGCCAACTTCTGCAGGGTCACGCCGTGGAAATGGTGTCAAAGGCTTTACTAAAGTCTAGACAGACAACATTCACAGCCTTTCTCTCATTCACTAAGTGGGTTACCACTTCACAGAAGGAGGTCATGTTAGTCAAGCAGGACCTGCCTTACATGAACCTGTGTGGACTGGGCCCCATTGCCTGGTGTCCTGTACGTGCCATCTAACAGCACTCGAGGTGTTTTGCTCCATACCCTTCCCTGGCACTGAGGTCAGACTGACAGCTCTGGAGTTTCTCAGTCCTTCTTCCAGACAAGTGTCACATTTGCTAACCTCCAGTCAACTGGGACTTCGCCAGCTAGCCAGGACTGATGATAAATGGTGGAAGGTGGCTTGGTACACACTTGCACCAGCTCTCTCAAGTACCCTGGGGTGGCTCCCACACAGGCCCATAGACTTGTGTGTGTCCAAGTGGTGTGGCAGGCCAGTGGCCATTTCCTCTTGGATGATGGGGGCTTCATTCTGCTCTCCATCCCCGTTGTCCAGCTCAGGCAGGTGGGTACCAAAAGAAAACTGGTCTTACTATTAAAGACTGAGGCAAAGAAGGCATTAAGTTCCTCAGCCTTTTCCTCATCCTTGGTCACTATGTTTCCCATAAAGGAAAATAATCCAATAAAGGATGGAGATTTTCCTTAGTCCTCCTTTTGCTGTTCATGGATTTATAGAAATATTTTTGATGGCAGTAGCCTGATTAAGTTGCAGTTGGGCTTTTGCCCTTCTAATCGTCTCTCTGCGTAACCCCATGATAGCCTTGTAGTCCTGCTGAGTTGCCTGCCCCTTCTTCCAAACGTCAGGACTTCTTTTTTTTTTTGTAGTTTTTTACCCTGAGTTCCTGCCAAAGTTCAGCCAGGCTGGTCTTCTTCCATGCCAGTTCATCTTTTAGCATATGAAGACGGCCTGCTCCTGCACCATTAAGATTTCCTTCTTGGAACATCCAGCCTTCTTGGACTCTTTTGCCCTTCAGGGCTGCCTCCCACAGGAATCTGTCAGCCAGTCTCCTAAACAGGCCAAAGCTTGCCCTCTAGAAGTCCGAGGTGGCAGTTCTGCTAACCTCCCTCCCTCTCCAAGAAGTGAAAACCGTATCGTTTTGTGATTGCTATGCCCAAGATGGCCTCCAACCATCACATCACCCTCAAGTCCTTCTCTGTTCCTAAACAAGTCCAATGGGACACCTTCCGTAGCTGGCTCACTCAGCAGCTGCGCCAGGAAATTATCTTCCACACACTCCAGGACCCTCCTAGACTGTTTCCTCTCTGCTGTATTTAATCTCCATCAGACATTTGGTAAATTGAAGTCTCCCACAAGAACAAGGGGTAGTGACTGTGAAACTTCTCCCAGAAGCTTACAGAATATTTCAGCTGCCTCTTCATCCTGGTTGGGTGGTCTATAACAGAATCCTATCATGATATCTGCCTTGTTGGCCATCCCTCTGATTCTTACCCATAAACACTTAACTCTATCGTCATCATGATCAAGCTCTAGACAAACAAAACACCCCCAAACATACAGGGTTACCCCATTGCCTCGTCCTCCTGGCCTGTCCCTTCTGAAGGGTTTGTAGCCATCCAACACAGCACTCCAGTTGTGTGGGTCATCTCAATGCTTTTCCATGACAGCAACCATACCATAGTCCTCCAGCTGCACCCCGGCTACCAGCTCCGCTTGTTTGATGCCCATGCTCCATGCACTGCCGTGGATGCACTTCACTTGGGCTACTGATCCTGCCACCTTTTTGCAGGGAGAAGGTCAGATTCCTACATGGCTATTCTCAGGGGCTCCTGCTGTTTCTAACACATCAACAGCTCCTGTGTCTTTGCTGTCACATAGATCTCCACCCCTTACCTCCACGGACACGGCAGACGGAAGGACCTCACTAGCTCACCATCTCTCAAACATCGCTTTGCCACCCCACGCCTACCTCTAGCTAGCCTGGTTTTATCCCTTTCCCCCTTCAAATCTACTTTAAAGCTCTTTCAGTGCACCCTGCCAACACCTGTGCCAGGATCCCTTTCCTCCTCTGAGACAGGTGAACCCCATCTGCAGAGGTCTTCCTCCTTCAAGACACAGAAATCGATCCCTGCAAGGCCTGTGGCCACTGACATATGGTAGATGGCTGCGGCGTGTTGCCTGGGCAGCAGGGGCACTATGTGCATGCCCTGACTCAGGCAGGCCCTCCAGGGTGGTGGCAGTGCTGCTCTCCACGAGGAGAACTCACGTGCATTGAGGAACAGCTTCTGGAACTGGAGCCCGTGTGCTCTGATGAAAGGCACTGAGAAAGGGAGAGGTAGCTGCCTTACACTTGCTGCTGAAAGCTGGCCCACAGCCAATATTCACATCTGGTACAGGCCTACGGTCTGTGAAAATTAAACTGGCCATTTGGCAAAGCAGTGGATATTGGATCTGTTTTCTCTGAAATGTGGAACGAGATAGGACTGTTCTCCTTCCCTGACCTCATTGGCCCTTCTACCACCCACTTCAGCAGTTGCCATCCAGAAAGAATTAAACATAAATGATTAAGGGATCATAAAGTATTTTATACAGACGTAATTCTATAGACACAGTCTGTTTCCCAGGACTTGATTTCCCCATTAGTGAGACTTAACCTACAGTTTGACCAAACATCTGGCTGTAAGAGTAATTGGCAGAGAGCAGCACTTTTTCACTCTCAAAATCATACCCTAAACAAACGGGGCAAATGTCAGTCGTCAGGTATGTGGTTCAAATTTTACTGCAGTCAACAGTAAATGAAAGAACACTTTGCCCAAAGGCAGAATTAAGCCAATGCAATGTAATGCAGAGAATCCTTTGGGCACATCAGTTAAGTGCTGCAGCCTGGCTGTCCTGAGCAGACTGAGTGTGTGGGGTGTGTGACAGCTCACTGATGTTTGCAGGAACTGGGGCTGGTCCTATGGCCAAGCACCCTGTGGGCGCCAGCACCCATCCCAGGAGCGTGCCAAGAGCACCCCAGGGGGACATGCTGCTGGAGGGGCATGTGTTGCCCCCTCTGAGCTCCTGAGGGCTCAGCATCTGTGTCTGACTGTAGGTCAGCCTCACCTCCTTCCTGACTCATTGCCTCGCTTAGTATTGGCAGCACACGAGCCATTTTCTGGGCTGAACCCGTTTAAGGGCTACGGAAGAACCTGTTTTAACGTGAGCACTGCAGTCTCCGTGGCAGAGCAGTTACATATGCCAGCTGGTTAGCACGTTGCCACGAAGACACACAGAACTGGAGGGATCTTGCTGGGTGCCAAATCCAGTTCCTTGCTCCTGAGGCAAAGAAGTCATAAAATCCCTCTCCTAGATGGATCAATCTACCTTTAGAAATGAGCAAGCTTAAAGCAGATTTAAAATGTTCCACTATCATTCCCCATAGAGGAATATTCCAGATCTACACCCTTTTCATGGATGTAAGCCTTCTCCCAACTTCCATCTTACTTTTATTCATGGCCATTTGCTTTCCTATGCTGTGATTAAATGCAGTTCTTCCCTGCTGGAGTGTTCCCCGTGTAATCATTTTACTAAGTTTCTTCCTCCTCTGAAGGCCAAGGTTCCCTTCTGCAAGTAGCCTGCTCCCACCATGGATGCCTTAGGACCACTATGCCCCAGCTTGAAACAAATGTTAATTTGAGCATGGAAAATAGAAAAAATAAATAAACAAAACAGAGCAAAGCTACTTCTGTTGCAGGCTGTTGTTTGTTTGTTTTTATGCTATGATAAAGATGAAGCGTGCTAGATATTAATCTTGCACATAAAACAAAAAAAGTCTTTTGGATGTTGAAGACTAAAATCCCTTCCCATATCTAGGTTTTTCCACTATTAAGAAACATATGCAATCCTTCTTTCATAAAACAATTTAAAAGAAATTGCGCTTAAGATGGATGTTATGAAGCTGGAACCTTTTTACTATTTAGACATTAAGATTTCTAGAAGAAGTTTATTTCAAATATGTACAATAAGAAAGTTATCCAAGGGCAACAAATCCCACATTGTACTTTTCATGATGAAATAATTTTCTCTTCAGATGATTTCTAAACCTGGAAGGGCAAACTAAAGGCTTAGTTTTCTTTATCCTTCATTTCACAAAATCCTCTGAGTTTCTCAGTAATAGGGATCTGGCTTTTCATTTAAATGAACTGCAAATTCAGTGGACTCACCGATTAAATTACAGGAGACAATCTGCAACAGTAACTCATAGTTTTAAAAGTGCAAAATAATTCCATATCACAGTGAACCATGTCCAAGTAGAAAAATATAAGAATGGTGTACTTATAATATTTAGATTGTGTAATACTGCTGCTGAGAAGGTCTGAATTAATTTAAAATTCAAGAGAGAAACTAAAAAAGAAACAGAAAATCCTTCTGACAAAATGCTTCTAAAGAGTTCTGTGTCCAAACTCTTTATTGCTATTTAACTATAATAATTCTTTGCCACTAGAAATGATGCTACAAATTATCTGATTGCACTTAAACGTTCCTGAATATATCACTGTAGTCCTCTATTTACCCATAAAAGCTAAACAGGTCTGAAATATTGTAGAAGTCAAGGTGATAAGGAAAAACTTACCAGCTCTCTGGAGTCAGAACTAACCTGTACTAACCTACACCATGTTTTGGCATTACACTTTCTTAGGCCACACAGAAAACCATTTATTTTTAAGTCTAACTTGTTCCATAACATTTTCCAAGTGTATATGAGTGATAGTTATTTGTTTGATCTAAGAGACATCTAAACCTCTGCCATTGCTGACAGTATGTTGTTATCTGTAAAAATAAAAGTAATTGGATAAAAGTTAACTGTCTGCCTATGATCTGATTTCCCATATGGTAACAGAAACATGCTGAAATAGTTGAACCAAAACACCCTGCTCCAACTGTTCGGTGCAATGCACTTCCCAAGGAGCTGTCTGCCTGAATTAATGTAGCACCATGTGCCAGGGTAGCACTGGAAATGTCTGACTGCAAAAATAGCCATGGTGAGGGTGGAGATGGACATGCTCCTGTGGATCACTCTGAAACAGTTTAAAAGATTACTGCCTCCAGCTTTTCATTACTTTTCCTCAACTGGAAGTTACTGCCTTTGTATCCAAAATCAAGTAAAAAACTGCTTGAGTATTCCCAGCTCATTTTCATGCCAAGTAAAACAGAACTGCTGAAATCCCCTTCAGGGAGCAGTTACTGCTGGTCGAGTGAAGGCAACGGGAGCATCCAGTGAAGGGCAGCAATGTCCTGTGGGCAGCACTGCTTCTGAAGCCACTGCAGCTACCTCCCCAGGGGACCCAGTGTCCCTTGCCCAAGGTACCAGCACAGGGAAGGAAAATTTCTGAAGGCTACCAGGGAAGTTGTTAAAAATCCTGCTACTCCCAAGCAGCATCCTGTTTTAAGCTGGATGAAAATATGTTTATGGAATTCCAAAATTGTCAGTGTCGCTTCAACTAGGGTGAGAGGCATTTGGTACATAGATCTGACAAATTCAGGCTGACCTGTACTAGACATGATTTGGTGTTGTCCTCATTCAGGAAAACACTGAACTGACAGCAGCAGTTGAGTGCACTCATAGCTCTCTTGGATGGGGTAACTCAGTCTGGCTAGTGAAGATGGCAGGGAAGGGAAACAAAGCTGTTTTGGGGTGTTTGAGGATACCTGTTATGATGGCAGGAAAGCCCCAACACACGACATAGTAGAACCTCATGTGCCCAAAGTTGATGTTCCTCACTTCCGTCAGCATCCGGTAGATGTGGAGCTGCTCCACGAACATCCAGGCAAAGGTGCTCATGTAGAAATAATGCAGGAGGATGGCAATCACTGTGCACACAAACTGCAGAAGGGAAAGGGCAAGGAAATTAGTTGCTCTTCTGAATCTCAATCTGATGAGTCACCAGCTCCCCCGTGCAGCTAAAGGCAAGTGTAATAGAAAGGTTTAGGCAGAACAAATATACTGGCGTTAATTAAGTTTTTCAGAGTTTCAGACAAGCTGTTTATATTCTGAAAGCCTTTTTTTAAAAAAAAAAAAAAAAATGTGGCCTGTTCTGAGTCTAGTTCAGCTTTACCCTATCAACCAAAATGCTTCTGTCACTGCTCTTACCCTCTGCGTTCTGTGGTTAGTCTCTCTGTGCATGTTTGCTGAAATGTGAGGATCTGGGCTTTTCTGACTGAATTCCTTCCACCTGCAGGAGAGGCAGGGCTGGCAGAGCTCCTGGCTCTTCCTCCTGGCACAGAGCAAGAGGTAGACCTGCCCCTGTAGAGGCTGCAGACCCTCTGCCCTGCCTTGTGTCTTGCCTGCACAACGCCACAACACCAAGTTCAGCCACAGCGTGCTTAACTGCATCAGCCAAACCACCTCCCTGCACACTGCTCCTGAGCAGGGCCACCCTCCGCCCTGCACTGCTTTGGTGTCCCCCATTTCCACATCCTGTGGGTTTTTCTGCTACTTTATTCTTTCCAGAGAATGACAGAGATCTTTCCAAGGATGTGTGCTATTTTGATACAGTCTTATTTTGTCTTAAAGTAGACTATGTTTTGTGCCCGATACTAGTAGATAAAAAAAAGCCAATTTTAAAATTTTTTACTAGTAGACAAGAAAACTACTGACTTTTAAAACTACTAAAAAAGAAATTTTCCTTGTGGTTGGCTTGAGGTGGGGGGTGTGTGTATATGTGTGTGAGAGAGATCTTAGGTGTTCCATTTAGGCCCAGTCTCTAAGGAAGTTGTTCTTGCTCTGAGAAACTTCACTTCTGGGAACAGAAATCCACAGTGCTTCAGCCCAGGAAGTTAATGTGCTAGACATGAACAACAGGTGATCTGTAGACTTCAGCTAAAGAAATCCAGTCTTTCTTTGAGGAATTTTCTTATCAAGATAGATGAAATGTATGTCTCACAAATAAACAAAATTTGATGTGATCTTAATATCTAACATAAGATCAGCAGATCATTTTGCCCCTGTGTGTCTGTGTCACAGGCCTGAAGAGCTCTGTTTCATCTACAGCTCCTTTTCTGGGACACTTAAAAAAAAAACATCAAGAAGAAAAAGCATGGATGCATCCATGGGGTAAGGCAGTGGCCATCTTTTTTGTCTTTGCAGCTCTGCCCTTCACTGATGAACCCTGCAGACTTTGTCTAACTACACTTCAAAAAGTTATGGAGGATGCCTGGCTGTTATCACTGGACTGAAATGATGCAGCCAGAAGTAGATCATCACCTACTCTCTAGATCAATCTTCTACCTAATGTCAAAATCAGAGTATTTGACTACAAAGTGGAAGAGTGGCTTCCAGGTTCTACCTGGCTTGACCAGGGGGTTAATGTCTTCTTGTTCACTGCAGAAAACTGCCCTCACCACCAGGCTAGGCTGTCGGATATTCTGAGTCCAGAAATACTCAGCTCTACCCTTCTCCTGAGGCTGTCAGGCACAGAAGCCACAAGGACAAACAGAAAGCAGGCCAGTGCTGCCTGGATACTTCATATCTTCAGCTAGGAAGAAGGAGATCTGGAGCTTCCAGTCCCAGGCATGGATTTGGTTTTTATCCTGTGTCAGCAGCACAAAGTGGAGCACTGAGCCCTGCCAGACTGAGAGCAGCAAATATGAAGGACCTGCCAAAACCAAAGAGACCAGGTCCTTACAGTGACTAGGAGTAACAGCTGCAGTGGGCAAACTGGTAGCTGAAGTCATCTTTGTGCTTAAATGGCCACCTTGAAACCTCTGACCTTCACAGACTTGCATTTCTGTAATGAAATGACACCTAACCAGCTCTCCCTCCCAACCTGACAGTTTGATGGGTGAAAACAGGAATGGCCATGAGCATCCGACACCTGAATTGAAATCTCACAACCTCTTTTCAGAAGCAAAGCAAATAATTTGTTTTAAGATCTGGTGATAAGCCTGAATTAGGAGCACTTTGTGTGACCATTCAATTTTTGTTTCAAAAAGTTTTACATTGTGTTTTGGAACCTTTTGTTCCTGTGCAGCACTGCCCCTGCTTTAGTGTTTTTTTCATGGTATAATGCTCAGAAACATAAGTATCCCTGTTTAACTTTGCCAAGTGAAGGAACCATACAGCCACCGCCAGCTTTCTGGGTTCCCTTACTGCATCAGCTTTATTCTAACACCAACTGTTGCTGAAAATGTAGCTCACTGAATAAAAGACCTTTCTTCCCTCTATGTAAGCAGGGCTTTTTTTGTTCCAGCTCGCACGTACATATGAGTAGACTGCTGCCCTGAACATTACCTTTTTCAGGTAAGAAAAAAGAAAGAAAATAAATCACTTTCTACCAATAGTCCAGGGAAAGATTAAAACCTCGCCCAGAAATGTGACCGTTAATTTACAGAAACCCATAAAAGCCAGGCTGGGTGCCAAGCAGCACAGCATTATTTGTGCTCCAGCATTCTTTACCTCTTTATGTTCATCAGTGCATAACTCGTTAGGCAACTCTCATTCCATACAGACAGATGAATAATTGTCTCAAGTAGATGTGGCTTACAGCCCTCCTAACTTCTCAGATTGATTGGGTAGGTTGTAAGGTGTGGCTTTCTGCCTTATGAAATATATTCTGTAATTTAAAAGATCTTTGTAAGTGGGTTAAACGTTTGAGGTGTTTCACTGAGTCCTGGTAACACTACAGGACACGATCACACCGTGAGCCCCAAAGCATGAAAATGAGAAGGAGCAAAAGAGAACAGTCTCACCAAGTGTCACTGTTAGTATTTGGTATTACTCTAATGAACTGCTTCACTACTCTTACAAACCTTTGCTTGGTGCTTCATGATATAATGAAAGGAATCTGGAAATGAGAAGCCATCAAACTACATTACTACATCATTTTTGGTAAGAATCTGCAGGGATGTGCTTGGTCCCTTGCTCCTCAGTATTCATGCTGGAGAACTGAAAGAGTATAAATGCTAGTGAAATGCAGTGAAAAACTGAGGGGTGTGCTGCAGAAGGCCTGGGAAGGTCACGTTACATGGAGTGCTGGAGGTCAGTTGGCCAGGTGAGTTCATCTCAGCAAAGTTATTTTAACATGCAAATTTGTATATTATGAAACAAAGACAACATGGGCCACACATGACCTGAGACCATATCCCAGAGGACAAGTCACTGCAGAAGATCTCACCATAGCAGCAGGTAAGGGATGGGAGTTCCTGGTGCAGGGGAATTTCAGAATATGGGACTGGAAGTGACAGTACCAGCTGGAAAGCTTTGTCCAGGTTTCAAAGGGTAAAGTGGGGGAAGAAAGCCCAGAAAAAAGGCAACAGGTGAAACTGAATCTTAGAAACTGAAGAATTTAAGCAGCTTAATTTTATTTGGTTTTACACATGAAACAGAAGTTGAACAGAGGCTTCCTAGGAAGACAGTTCTTACATGAGAGGTCTCTCAAATTTACTAGGAAAAGGTCTTGACAGCACTCAGTAACTGGAAACTGAAATTAGTCAAGGTCAGATACATTCTAAACTGTATGTTATAGTTCAAATGGGTGTTAGGATCCAGGGTGACACCTCAGGCTGAAGTTCTACAGCAAGTGAGGCTGTGTGGTTAGGCACCATGGTGCCATCACCATAACAGTGATGATACTCACTGAACACAAGCACATTCTCCCATTTCTGCTGCTTGAAGCATGTGGAATCAGCATGTTCCTTTTTTTTTGTATGTGTGTGTTTTCATCTCATGATTGCAATTCCCTCTCAAAATTTAGACTGAAACATATACAGTAACAGATTTCTAGAAGATAAATTTTCTTCAGAGTGTTCAGATAATCCCTACACTAACATTTTGAATATTCTTCATCTCTGTTAAGGACATTCATGTCATTTCCACCTGTCTACTGCCTGCTTGGTGCAGCCAGCTGTGAAGCTTGGCAGTGCTGGAACCCTTGTCCTGCCTGTCTGCATGGCAACCGTGACCTTTGAGATGGGTGCTCCTAGGAGTCAGCAGCAATTCTACCTACACTGCTACAGAGTTCAGATAGCAGTAGGATCCTAGGTGCAGAACATACACACTCCACGTGTGGCATCTGTCTCATATTCAGTCCATTCATGGCTCGTGTTTGTTGACATGCACAATGCTGGAGAGGCCTGCACTAAGCTTTGGCAACAGATATGATGGGCTGATGCCAGCCATCACTGTGGCTGGAAGGCACAAAGCAAAGTGACAGTTCTCCTGCTGACTCTTGGATGTAGCAAGCTGTCCCATGCCTGGCAAGTGGCTTCTCCAGAATGGCCATGGTGGGTGTGCAACATGCATTTTAGCACCTGTACACACCTACCTACTGGTCAACACCAGGAGCTGTATGGGCCTCTGAGGCACCTGCTGCAGGAGAAACCAGAGCGTCCTACTGAACAGACAAAGTGAGTCAGGAGACATACTGATGGAAAGGAAGGAAAAAATCAGTGTTCAGGGTTCAGTTCTGGGGATGAACCTTAAACAGGGCTGCTGCTGTATCTTCTCTGAAAACATGGTACTAGTCCTATCTCCTGGCATCAGTATGAACCACGGAAAACACACAAGAATAGCTTAGCAGTCTGACGTCTTTCAAGTGATGGTTGAGGCTGTGCAGAAGTAACAAAGAAAAGGAAGTGAAATGGATGGGGGCAGGTAAAAGTCACAGTATGAACCTCCTGATTTAAGGCTTGACAATTCCTCTAGCTGACAAGCAGGGAGAAATACTTACTGGGTTGTCAGTCTGGTTGATTCCAATGAGGAAGACGAGCTCAGAGAAGAAAAGGGCAGCCACCAGGTTCTTGTGGATACTGTGCAAGTTGGAACGTAGCGTGCGGATCAGGACCAGCAGTATGAAGGTGATCAGCAAAGCCACCAGTGAGATGGATACAGTCGTGTAAGTGACGATCTTCAGAGGAAGCACCTCCCCATTCTGTAAAAGGACAGATTGCCAGGACCTTTGTGAGATTCTCCTTCCTTTTTTTCTTCAATCCAACCTACCTCTTGGAATGTCAATATTTCCATTACTGCCGAGCCAACGTACAAATCTGCTTGAGGACCAACAGGAGCGGATGAAGTCACTCAACGTGTTGAGTGTGTATGGGCAGGTACCGACCAGGTAAGAATCTCCTCTCAGCAGACCCAACAGTGAGTGCAGCCAGGCATGGGGCAATGCACTCCTGACACACTGCAACATGGCATCGATCTGCTGGGGATGCTCTGAGCCAAGCTCAAAGCTCAAGCTCTGAATCAAAGCCCTTGAAAAGCGAAGCCACCAAAACCGCGAGGCTGCCACCACCCACCTCTCGTTTGGAAATGTCCATCAGGACAGCAAAGCTGGTGATGTGGTTGCACTGGCAAGCGACATGGCTCTGGTTTCTGGAAAACAGCTCACATCCTCTGGAGGACCAGGCACCTGTCCCACCAATCCTGCAGGGAAAAAGGCATTTCTCATCTCCCCTTGCCTCCTCCCGCTACTGCTCTCAGAGGCTCCACAACCAGAGAGGACTGTGAGTACCAAGACAGAAATATTTATATTTCACCTGCCTGAAGGAGTATCATGGCTTAAAAAGCCTTTAGCTGAGCTATTTTCTGATATAATAGCTGGCTTTGTTGGCCAAATTTTGTGGTTTCATAACAATCTGCTTTGAGTTTAAAAAAAGTAAAATTTTAAAAATTTGGTTTTGGCTCAGTGACCACACAAGCAACATGGGGAAGCAACTGCACAGAGAAAACTGGTTGTAAAAAAGGTAAAAAATACCAAAACCACAGAGACACAGGTTTTTCAGTCACCTCTATTTCCCTAGATCTAGACACTGCTTGTAGAACTCTTACGTGAAATATGTTCCAGCAATAATAAGATTTCTTTTTAGTGCTCCTCTGAAAACTACACAGGAAAAGGTTCAAACCAGTAAATAACATGTGGTATCAGGACACCTCTTGTATTGTCATTGGAGAAGAACTGCTCCCTTAAATATTCTTCCCTGTGCAGCCCTTGTTAACTGCAGTGACTTCTGAAATTTTTTTAAATCAATATTATTCTATTCTGAAGTTAATGAGTAATAAAAATAGTCTTGTAGTTACTGGAATTTTAATTAGATATGACAGGGCATCTTCTTCATTCATCAACATAATATTTGTTGACCAGTTTTAATATCACCTTTTCTTGTGAAGTACTCACTTCTTAAACTCTTCCATTACATGCAGTTTAAGGACTGCTTTTTAAGGGTGGCTGTAGAAGATGTAACACAGACAACAATGCCACTGAAGTTGCCAGCAAATGGCTAATGGATGAATCACTTTAGAGCTAATGACTTATTCAAGCCCATACAATGTTTAAAAGTTTGTGAAAAAGGACTTGCCATTCCCTCAAAACTAGCAGAATCATCTGCACAGAGAAGCAAACATACAGCTTTACATGCAGACAAAGGGAGCAGTTCATTATTGTGAACACAGCAGATTTCTGTTGCCTTTGCAATCCTTTCCATAATATAATCTCCTAAAGCTGTTGACCAGGAGGCAAACATTTCCTAAGGTAGCTTGCCCTTTCTTTTCTGACACAGGATATTGCCCTGAAATGGGTTTTTCCATAGGTTTCCTGGAGTTTTGGGGTTATTAGAAAACAAGTGACAGCTATTTCTCTTTGCTTGGGCAGACAGTATCATCCTGTCACTATATACCTGGTTTTATGGTTGAAATTTGCATTATGCATGTAACAGTTACAATATTGTGAAATCACAACATCCAGAGCATGTCATTACCTCTCAACACATTTTCTTTAGTTTTAGTCACACTCTTGAAATATCTCCAACAGGAGAATACTGTATTGTTTCCACAATGGCATATATGCTTATGAGCATATTCACGTCTTAACATTTTTCACATTTTAAAGAAAAATCTTTAAAATTATTGTATCTTTAATGAATACAAAAGACCTAAATGAGCCATTTCCAGGACATCTCATCTTTTCCCTCACACTTCCCTCACAGAAAGTCAAATATGCTCTCCTTGTGTTCTGCTTATGTATTACCATTGCTTCCTAAGGACCAGAAGAGGTCTAAGATCCCAAAGAAGGTATTTCCTCTCACTCCAATTTTTCACTAGAACAAACAAAACCAAAGCCATAACAGCTGATGAAATGAAAGGTAAGTAATTTCAGCACAACTGTCTTTGGGCTGATTTCTGATTAAAAATTTTTAGATTCAGAAATTTATGATCTTCACTCATACAATTTTATCTGCAAAATTTCAGTCCTCTTCTTTATGAACATAAAGACTTGATTTTGTAATTTGTGCACTCGTCCTGTTTGAGGCATCAAGGGTGGGTGCCTGCTTGCCATGTACCCTGTCCATAATCACTGGAGTGTGGCAGGAGAAGATTCATCCCACGTAAGAACTGAATCTCCTGGAGATGCCCTCCTAAAAAGAGGGCATGGGGCAATGAGAGTCCTGACTTAGGAACCTCAAGATGAGCCATGAATTTAGGCACTGGAGTCACACTGTGTCTGTTCAGACACACATCTGTGAGCAAAAAGCATGAACAAAACCAAGGAAACGGTGAGATTTATTATTGCTGGGTGAAAATGAACCCTGCAGAAAGGTCCTGGTGCTGTGCTGTTAGAAACTACATGGCTAATAATTTGTTTGAGGAGTTATGATGATTATTTTAATTTTTCTCAGGTTGGTAGAAAATGACTACATAGCTATATTCCACCAGAAATCATTTGCTCAGTTGAATAAACTGAGCAAAAAGGGGATTATATCCAGAATTATCTTCCTGGGCAGAATTTCTCTGCTACTGAGACAGTTGCCACCCACAGCCTCAAAGCAAGTAGGAGACATACATGATGGAGTGATTCCAGAAGACACAGACAGGCTTTGTTCTCTCCTCTGTTTCCAGCATGGTGTACTCCACTAGGATGGGCTTCTCCACCAGGTTGGGAGGCAGGTCCCCGTCGCTGTGAATGGCTGTGCTCACTACAGGTGTGTTAATAATAGGCCGGTTGGGCAACCTGCAGGAGAAAAATTGCATGGGGATCTAACTGTTAAAATGCACAGCACCGATTTGATAGGTTCTGCAAATCAAAGATTTCCAGTTGCTCCCACTCAGAAAGCGAAGTGGATCCACCACCAGCCTCCCACACAGTCGTGTCCAAAAGCCGCTGGCACTACGGAGAGGGTTATTCTCCAGCAGTGTGCCAGGGGGGGACAAGAGGCAGTACTGAGGTGACAACTGCAGCACAGATGACATTTGGGCAGTATAAAAGCAGCTCTGTCTCCCCCACACACCCAGAGCAAGTGGGAGAAGGGATGTGCACCATGGACAAAGAGCTCTGAAGCTTACCTCAGGCTCCTTCGGTCAGGATCATAGTTCTCAGGCAGGAGGTGTCCCAGGGATCGGTATATAATGACCATGGCAACAGTATGATGGGTTGGGTCATCTGGGTGTCGCTTCCTTCTCTTTGCAAAAGCACCCCCAGGGCTCAGGGCAACACTGTTCACTTTAGAGGATAATTTTTGATTTGAAGGCTTCATTGTCGGCACTGCTAAGGAATTAACACAAATATAAAATTCTTCCCACAAAACTTCAGAGCTACCATGTACTCTGTTAATTTTGCCTTGCAAATATACAGAAATCTTACTGTTGTTATAACTCTAGGCTTACAACACTAACGTTCTATTTGATATTTTTAATAAAATTTTAGCACATTTCCTTGTTATACAGCTCATAATCAAAAAAACACTGAACCATGAATAACCATTTAGTGTAGCTAGAAAATGAGCTATTTCTAAGCTAGAAGATCCATAAGTATATAAATGCCCTGTGTCTGATTAAAGGAGAACATTAAAGCAATATGCGTGCTATTAAATTGTGTGTACCTTCATACATGGCAAAGTTACTGGTATGAATACACCAACCGGTCACATGGGATTTCTCCCTGTTAATTCTGTCATATAATGAGCTTTCAATTTTGGCAGTATCTCTTAAAATTCATATTCCCTTTTTTCTTACAAAAAACATATAAGTCACACAAGCAGGCACCCCATTTCTGAGGAAAAAGTCATAAAGTTGTATTAGCTTATCAGTTATTACGTATTATTTTCACAAGTGTTATTACTTCCCCATTTGGAGGCTATGCAGCCATTGTACGTGTATAATTATTGCACTTTGGGTTACTTTCTCTTTCTTCCCTTGCCCAAGGTAACTTGTGGTTCCTCTCACCAATCTCAGAGCTACTAGGAAGCAAGTGCTTCCCTCAGTATTCTCCCTCATCATCAATCCCCCTGAGCAGCTCAGTAATTTTTATTTGCTGCCTAGTTCTGACAACACTGCTCTGCTCCCTCATTTGGACCTTCCATCTTTCACACCGCCTCCCTCCCCCTCCACGGGGGCTGGGAGAGGTGGCTGGGGGGTGCAGGCTCCAGGTGGCCATCCCACCCTGTCCTGGTGGGAACGGAGGCAGAGCGTTTCTCTCGCCTTGGCAGGGTGGTTCCAGGGGCCCGGAGGGGACCTGACAGACAGGTACAGCCAGTCCTGCAGCCCCCCGTGCTCCCGCCGGCAGGCAAAATGCCTCCCAAGTGTGCACAGCTGCTCCAGCCCTAGACAACGCTCCCCTGGGCCGCCTCGCTCTAGCACCACTCTGCTTCACCTGCATTAATCACACGCCCTGGGAGCTAGCCAAAAACACCCTCCGAACGGCAGCAGAAGGGTTTTACCTTTCCTGTCTGAAGGTCTGAACAAAGTATCAGGGAAGACAACAGATGACTCCAGATCTTTTGGATAATCTTCTTTAATCTCATGAAATCGTGGTATTCTAGCTCCCGTGAAATTAGACTTGTCAAAGATGTCAACAGCAATAACTGGGGAAAAAAGGTTTCCCATAAAATTAACTTCAAGGCATTCAAATATGATATTACGACAAAAAATTTGAACCGTGATGGAGAAGTTCAAATTCCTGCACAACGTAAAGAAGACATTTAAAACACAAAATACAAGTCAATTTTAATTTCTCTCAATTAATACTTTAAATGACAACTGAAAGTTTCTGTGTCAGCATTATGTTACATTTATCACATTATAAATCTGATTTGCAGTGGAACGGGATTCACAGAACAGTATCTCATGCTAGGAAAACACGACTGCAAGCATTGGAAATAGCCAAGCTGATATTGGTGACATTATCCACCCAAGGGTGTTACAGAGCTGGCTGATGTCACTGCAAGGCTGCTCTCCGCAATCTTTGAGAGGTTGTGGAGAACACAGGGTGTCCCAGAAGAGGGGAAGAAGGCTAATTTCACCCCCATCTAACAGAAGGGCTTAAAGGAAGATCCAGGAAATTATATGCCCATGTTAGTCCCTTACAAAGTTATGGAATGAATCCTCCTGAGGCCACCACAAGTGAAATAAAGCACCTCACTGGGAAAGGCCAGCACGGATTCACTACAGGCAAACTGTGCTTGACAAACCCTGCTGGGAAAGGCCAGCACGGATTCACTACAACTGTGCTTGACAAACCCCGCTGCCTTCTGTGACAAGGTAACCTGCTGGTTGATGGGGGGCAAGCAGCGGACACCTGCCTTCTACAACAAAGTAACCTGCTGGTTGATGAGGGGCAAGCAGCGGACACTGTCTACCTGGATTCCTCCAAGGCTTTTTATACAGTTCCTCACAGACTCCTCCTAGAGAAATTGATACAATGTGGTCTAGACAAGTGGCCCATGTGGTGGGTGGGGAACTGGCTGGCAGGCTGCACACAGAGCGTGGTGGTAAACAGCTCTTTTTCAAACTGGCAGTCTGCAACAAGTGGGGTCCCCAGGGATTGACAGGGACCCCAACACTGTTTATTATCTTCATGAGAGATATGGATGAAGGGATCAAGCGTGCTCTGATGAAGTTTGCTGACGATAACAAACTGAGTGGGGAAGTGGGCACTTCAGAAGGTAGAGCCATCCAATAGAAAGACCTGGATAGGCTGGAAGAATTGCCTAACGAGAACCTTACGAAGTTCAACAAGGACAGGTGTAAGGTCCTGCATATGGGAAAGCATAATCCAGGAGCACAGCACAGACTGGGATCCATTTGGCTAGAGAGCAGCTTTGTGGAAAGGGACCTGGGGGTTCTGGGGGACAACAAGCTCAGTATGAGTGAACAGTGTGCTGCAGCAACAAAAAAAGAGGATCCCGGGTTGCATCAACAAGGGCATCACCAGTGGAGATAAAGAAGTCATTATCCCACTCTACTTGGCACTTGTCAGGCCACACCTGGAATCTTCTGTTCAATTTTGGTCTCTGCTATACAAAAAAAAAGATGTGGACAGGCTGGAGAGCATCCAGAGAAGGGCCACAAAGATGACCAAAGGCATTGGGAAGCCTGCCATATGAGGAAAGGCTGAGAGAATTTGGTTTGTTCAGCCTTGAGAAAAGTAGCTTAGAGGAGACCTCATCACTACAGTATTTACAGGGTAGCCACAAAGAAGATGGAGACTCTTTTTACAAGGAGTCACATGGAAAAGATGAGTGGTAATGGGAACAAGTTACTCTGGACAATTGGACACAAGAGGAAAATTTTTCACAATGAGAACAATCAGCCATTGGAATTATCTCCCTAGGAAAGTGGTGGATTCCCCAACATTGGACACTTTTAAGATTCAGCTCAACAGGGCACTGGGCCATCTTGTCTAGACCATGCTTCTTCCAAGAAAGGTTGGACCAGATGATCCTTGAGGTCCCTTCCAACATGGTATTCTATGATTCTATAAACAGCATGTTCTAATTTCAGACTTGCTTCTTGCAGAGAATGCAAAATCTGCTGCTTTAGAAATATAGTTCTGCTTCTGGTAAACTGCAAAGTCAGCGAAGCAAATAAAATAACCTGGGTTCTACCTGGGACTACTCCTTAGTCCTCCAGTTCTTTCCCTACACTGGCAGTTCCTCTCTGGCTCACCTGACTATCTCAGCTTGTTGTCTAACTGCCAAAACATTTAAAAGCAGCTGAGTTGGCTTGAACTTTCCCATTTAAGAGAAGTCAAAGTGCCAACTTAGATGTTCTAATAAAAGTGAGAAGCTGGAAGTCCTGGGGGTAACCCTACACCGAAAGCTGTGATCCACTGCAAGTTTCTATATTATCCAAGTTAAGATCTGCAAATTCCCATTCCTTTCCTAGTCTCTAAATAACTCCCAGATGAGCCATTAGAAAACTCCATTAACACCATGTTCACCTGGAAAAACTGTTCAAAAGAAAACAGACTCCTTTCAAGTTAGAGTTCCTTTATCCCTCCCAGGCTCACACCTTTTTATTCAGGAAAGGCTGGTCAAAAAACCAGGATTTACAATCTGTAAGAAATTCTGGGTTTTGTTTCCATCTCAGTTCAGTTTGGTTAGAATACTGAGCATACTTTTTTCTGAGTGTGAAGATAAAAATATTTTGATTCTGAAAAGTCCTGAATCAAAAGAAAATATTTAAGGTTTGGTTTATTAAACAGAAATCAAAGTATTTTGCTTTGGCTTAATTCAACAATAATCCTTCCCCCCTGGAGCTGAAACAGGACTTTATACTTGTGTAGCATGACTGACTCATGCCTTTGCTTTTTATGCCCCTGTGACTGTGGACATGAAACACTCTAAGAACAAGGTTTGTAGGCAAAGGTAAATTCACTTTTTATACCACTGGGTGTAGTTGGGAAAACAAGACAAGTTTTTTGGCACATGAGTCATTCTTCAGGTCTGATATAAAAGCAGCAGCTTTAAAAGCTAAGCACAAGCTCAATCTAATAACAATTAAGACCACCTCTGAAAGAAAAAAAAACAGATAGCAATGGTGCTTGGGAGGAACATCTGAAGGTCACCCAAATCAGTCTCACCTCCCACTCAGAGCAGGACCATCACCAAATTCTGATCAGCTCAGACTGTTGGTGTCTGGGGAGGTGTGTCGGTGTGGGCGGCACGGAGCAGCACGGAGTCCCCAGGCAGGTGCAAAGAAGGAACTTTATTGACAAAGACCTGGCCTTTTTATGCCGTTAGCCGACCATTACTTTATATACTTCTTAGGCACAACAAACCCACTGTAACCAACCACCAAGCACCACGGTGCAAACGCCCGGCAGGCCTCGCCTCTGCTCCAGCCGAGCCACCCTCCCAGAGCCCCGCTCCGCTCCGCCTGGGCCACAGGCCGCAGCTGCCATGTTCCCAGGCCTGCCCCTACAGAGCTGCACCTGGGCTGCACTGAGGGACGGAAACAGGGAGGGCAGGGGAGCAGCTGTGGACAGAGCATGACCAGTCTGTGGTGGTTATGCTTCACTTATACGTGTTATCACGAGGACATCTGTGAAGTTCATCACAGTCCTCAAAGTGGAGGAGCTGCTATTTGCTTGCCAAAGGAGGCGTTTGTGGAAGGCATCTTGGTATGTCTGATGTTTCCTTCTCAGTTTAGGCCCACACCTGGCCACAAATGGTGTTCCCCAGGGCTCAGTATTGGGACCACTTCTGTTTAATATCTTTATCAATGATCTGGACAAGGAGATCAAGGCCACCCTCAGTAAGTTTGCAGGTGACACCAAGTTGGCATCTGGTGTGGTGATGATGGGGGGGAGTGTTGATCCGCTTGAGGGTATGGAGGGTCTGCAGAGGGATCTGGACAGGCTGGATTGATGGGCCAAGGCCAACAGTATGAGGTTCAACAGAGCCAAATGCTGGGTCCTGAACCTGGGTCACAACAATGTCTTGCAATGCTCCCAGCCTGGGGAAGAGTGGCTGGAAATCTGCCTGGAGGGAAAGGACTTGGGAGTGCTGGTCAACAGTCATCTGAATATGAGCCAGTAGTGTGCCCAGGTGACACAAGAAGGCCAACAACAATCCTGGCTTGTATCAGAAACAGTGTGGCCAGCAGGACTAGGGAAGTGATTTCCCCCTTGTACTTGGCACTGCTGAGGCCACAGCTTGAGTACTGCGTTCAGTTTTGGGCACTTCACTACGAGAAGGACATCGAGGTGCTGGAGTATGTCCAAAGAAGGGCAACGAAGCTGGTGAAGGGTCTAGAGCACAAGTCTTATGAGGAGTGGCTGAGGGAACTGGGGTTGCTTAGCCTGGAGAAAAGGAGGCTCAGGGAGACCTCCCCACTGTCTACAACTAACAACGTGGTGGGGGTTGATCTCTTCCCATTGAGCACGTGATAGGACAAGAGGGAACAGCCTCAAGTTGCACCAGGGAAGGTTAGGTTGGATATTAGGCAAAATCCCTAGAGGTATTGAAAAGATGTGTAGACGTGGGGCTTAGGGACATGGCTTAGTGCTGGACTTGGCAGTGTGGGCTAACCGTTGGACTTGATTAAATATCTTTTCCAACCTAAATGATTCTATGATTCTGTGGATATTTTGGACCCCAAGCATTTTGCTCTGATGATGGGTATTGAAAGGCTGAGAGGGTATTTGAAGGTTTGTATGAGTGATTCTGAGAAATTACCTTTCAGCACAGGAATTTCGACAGAATATGATTTCCTGGATAGGTTACAGACTAGGAAGGCATGTGAAAATCAGAGGTATATGATCCAATAGTAGTGGTTGGTTTTTTTCATACTGCAGCAATTCTTCAGGTGGTGGTGGTGGGATTCCTTCAAAAACATCCTCTACTACGCTCAGCTGTGCTGGGTAGTCTCAAAAGGCATTGCTTTCACTTACTTACACACCTTGTTCTTCCTACCATCTGTACCCTGCTGTGGCTACAACAGAGCAGTGGCACAACCCAGTGGGAAAACAAATCAGACATCTCCAAGGAGGCCTCCATGGCAACTGAGAGATACGGATCAAGGCTCAATGGATCTGAAATGAATGCACTGATCAGATTAGGAAACTCAAGTACGTTGTTCCTCAGTGCGTGTGACTGAAACAAATAGCGAGCACCTCCATCCAACACATTTTTAAAGCTCTAATACAAACCAGGAGTTTTCAAAACAGATACTCACTCATGTTAGAGGCAACAATGACAAAAGGTCTCATGTAGGTTTTCTTCATGTTCCGGGCCACGTTGTTGAAATATTGCTCATAGTGCCTGAGCAGGTGAGCGGTGCCACCCTCTGTTCGCTGAATTTGCTCCCAGTGCTCCTTATTGCTGGCGTCCAGGAGAGCACTACCCACTTTGATAATATTCTGAGAAACAAAGGACAAGCCGAAATTATGAAGCAAAGTGCTGGGTTTCAAGTGAGGAATATTGAAAATGATTGGCATTACTGCCTCAGGTGAGTGTATAATGAAGTAATTTAATGCAGGCACATTCTACTGCAGATGTATGAAAATATGCACACCAGTTACTCACCCCGAGGTTTTTCTGTTTCATAAAGCAAATCCCTCCAAACTTTTTATGAGCAAAGTAAGCCAAAATTTGAGGCTGTAAGAGAACTGCCTACTTTCTTTCCCCTTTATGACAGGAAACCTAGTAAGAAAATGCAGAATGAAAATCTAATCATGTTTTCTTTGCCTCAGAGAGATGAGAGACAAGAAAAGCAGAGCACTTGCTATGTACACTGAGGAGCTTCCCCAGGGAAATCAAAACAATGTGATATGTTAAAAATCAAAAGAAAGCCATAGACAGCAATAATGCTTTCTCTTTCATTTTGATTTTTATTTTAATTTGTTGATTCCTGGGTAACTAGGACAACATGCACGGTGAAGCATGGTAAGAGTGAATATTAACTTGCATATAGAAAATTAAAAATAGATAAGAAAACTTAAATCATGTTAACTCCCCATTTTTATGTTGCTTACAAATGGTGTTAAAAAGCAAGTTCTAGCTGAAGACCTGCCCATTCTGCCCTTTTTTTAAAGAATATGAAAAGGTACTCTCAGGCATGCAAGGTACTCTCAGGCTGAACGAAGGAAGATCCCAAAAGGAGTGTTAAATGGCTTAAATGGGAGAGGTGCTAAGAAATTTTTAACCTTGGTGTATACATGAACTACATTGTGGTGTCAAAACCTAATTCCTAACTATGCTAAAATTTGCATAAATCATAGTAGGAATTAATCACCTCAAGCTCAAAAAGTAGCCAATGGAAATACTTAGGCTTCATTTAGAAGCATATGGAGAAGAAGTGCTGTCTGAGGTTGCCAGCATGCATCTGAGATACAAGAGGCTGCCAGCATGACTCCCTTTATCTAAGGTGAGAAGCTCTACAAGGTTCCTCAGAAACACAGGAGACACAAGCTGTACTTGGCACCAGGCCTCTTCGGTGTTTGTGAATGTTATTGATGGGATTTTTTATCTATTTTTCAGGCTTCTACCTGAGACAAAATATATATAAAAAATTCCTTCTCCCCTTGTGCTCCCTCAGCCTAGAAAGTTACCTCCTTCTTCTCTTGAGATTTACCGATTAGTTTTCAAATTCCTGACCTACCCTAAAAATAATTAAAGAGGTCTTGAAAACATCATCTGTATGAGTTTCAGTGCCAAGTGCAGAGAATAATAAATTAAAGCAGAGGTTTCCAAAGAATTTTTTTTTGCTTATTGTTCTTATTTTTACTTAAGAAAACATGCTAAAAATGAAGTTCCTTCTCAAGATCTGAATGGGGGCATTAATCCACTCCACAGCCTGCAGGCACAAGCCTGTCAGTACAGTCTCTCCTCAAGAAAGGAAAAACTGAATCACTTAAAATCTAGCAATCTAAAATGTTAAATGTATCAGAAGTTCTCCACGCTCTGCTGACAGTATAGCCCAAGACACTGAGGGATTTTCTCAGACACACTTCCTCCTGCTCCCACCTCCCCAGGGATGTCCTCTCCTGGTGCAGCTGGCCTTGCACAGGATCTCCAGGTTCTTTTCAAAGTCTGCCTGACCTGGCTGGTTCTTCTGGAATCCTGTGAGCAGTGAGCTGAGTGTAGCACACCTTCAAAGGGAGCCAGACCACTTCTGCCAGCACTGAGGCCAGTCTTGGCCCATGGAGGGTGGTTCCAGCATCCCTGCACTGGTGCACAAGCCCTGAGCTCTGCTAGCACAGGTCCAGCAGGATGTTTTAGCTCGGACTCTGTGCTGTGCCATGGCTGGAATTTGGAAGCACTAAGTGTGGCCAGCAGCACCCCATAGCACACGTGACAATGGGGAGAGCTCTACGAGCCTGGCATGGGTCATCCAACTGTCACATTTCAGACCACAGAAAACTCCCCATCTCATCCACATCTCACATTTCCCCACCACAATTACGTGCTTCCCCCAGACAGGGATAGTAATGCACGTTGTTCTCTAGATCCAGTCAGGTCTTTGGTAGTAACTGGGTCTTTCATGAATGCTCTGACTAGCAGAAGCCCTCTGGCATGTGTTTTTGTGTGTGCCTGTATCATTTAAGACAGCAATCCAGTATGGAGTGTCTTTCAATACACCAACTCTTCAATAAGCATGACTCAACTGTTTCCAAACTGAATTATAAGAAACCCTCAGAGTCAGTAATTGACTCAGAGTTAGTTCATTGCACATTTAAATGAAAATGATCACATTAGGCAGGTGTTACAACAAAATGGAATACAATACACAAAGCTATTTTATCCAGGAATAATATACCAACTTGATTATTTTTTCATTTGGGGAATTGTGGTTTTGGTTGTTACTTTGATGATGCTGATTATAACAGTGCTTTCCATGATGCTTGTATTGCACACACACATGTGTGCACACATGCACGCATAACCAACCGACTTTTAATTCTAAATTGAGAAGACTGACCCATTTGTTAAACAGATTAAGTGATTACATGGTATTCACTCCACCTTGGTCAAAGAAAAATTTAATTATCTGTTGCCATAGAACTTTTAAGAGGAACTGTAAAGGCTCAGCACAGCATACAGTAACTCTCTTACCTCATTGAATTCCACATCCCTCGTGGCTGCCAAGTCAAACCCTTGCTGCTGGCTCTCATATTGAAGGACCCGGATCATCATCTGGTAAGCTGTCCTCACATCGTTGCCATACAAGTTTTCTGTATATTTGGTGGCATTCTGCAACACTCTCACAACCTGTATGGTTTTGTCTCCATCCAGCTTGGTCTCATTGTGGTGTAACTTCTCATTCTGAACCAGGGACAAAGAAGAAAAAAAGCAATAATCTATTTTTTTTTTCCCCATTCTAGTTACAGAAATAATCACCATTTAGGAATTTTGGGCACAGAGGAGTTGTTTGATCAAAATGATGTCCTGAGAAAGGATTGACAGGACAACTCAAGGGAAAATGTAACTTGAGAGCCTGAAAAGCACAAGGGTACTGATGGAAAATGAGGGACTTTAAGGGTTCAGTCAAAAGGTGGAGTGCAGGGTTTTCAAACCGGTGTTGACACCTGAATTGATGTTCATTTACAAAATAAAAGCCCAAAAGTGAGAAAACATGGCTTACCATGATTTTTAGATCAATAAAAGTGCTGGTGGTGCAGTTGAAAAGCTCAGGAGGCAGCCAGCCCTTCTCGATGTTACAATGGCGAACCGCGTTTCCTGAAGGAAACAAAGTGTTTATGGCAAAGGACATCCTGAAGTGTGACAGGCATCTTCACAGATTTCAAATATTCTGGACTTTCAGACTTCCTACATCTTCAGGTTTCCTAGAGCTATGCACACATTTCACTTCCCACACTGGGATTCCTGTCTGAGAAAAGTTGAAGACTACCAATCCTCATCTATCGCTTTCCACGGGCTTCAGAGGAAAGCCAGGCAAGCTTCAAGATCTGCCCAACCACCCTCAGCCTCACTGCCCTGATGTCCTCACAGGAATTCAGTAATTTATGCCAAATATGAGAAAGACTGTGCACTTCCTAAATGTTTCTGAAAACCTCTCCCTGCCCAGATTTCTGTGCAACAGCCTGCATAGGACAACCTCCCAGGATAGACTGTCCTCATGTCAGGACATGCCAGCACCTTCGCATGCTGCATGCAGGACACATTTCAGCCAACACACAGAAGTGCCTTTTCCCACCTGTGTATCATCTCAGAGCAGCTCACTGCTTAATTCAGCCTGTTATTTTGTACCATTCCTCAAATAATTTTAAAATGTGATTCTTGGCTGTGGATCCTTCACAGTGAATTGCAGGTTATCAAATTCAAAATTTACATTGTGCTAGTTAACTTGTACATATCATACAGTATGTGCCTGAGCCATTTAATGACCAATATCTAAGTTAGAATTATAATTAATTGAACAATATTACTTATATTATTTCTCTTCTATTATTAGGTGAATAGACTTAAGCCTCAGGTTCTTAGTCTGAATATTCATTATTTAGTGTTTTTTTTTTTTTTTTTTTTTTTTATTTTTTTTT